CCCGTGCCATTTATAGTGGCCCGCGAAAGGTTATTAGTCCAAACTGAAAGTCTTATGCGTCCATATCGTGCGACAACATTGTGCTCCCCGCACCCGCGCTTAGGTTAAAGATTTTTTTCTGGTAGATTCAGAAATTCAAAATCGTCCCAATATGTATCCCTTTGTTATGTATGGTTCGGCCTGATGTCACGCATGGTTTATCCCCCACCCCCGTCCCAAAACAATCGGGGAAAATGCAGAGGACAACGAGGGAATGGCAGGCGTGGATCGCCAGAGTAACGTAAATATGAACCGCAACCATTTAAAGGTTTTAGTTGCGGCCCTTGAAATGTTGCAAGTTGCCCCTGGTATAAGTATTTGTTAAGTTTGGGTAACGAGAGATGGTCCAGAAAGATCCTAGACTGAACTGCGACCGAAAGAAATGGAAGGGATTCCAATTAGACACAAAGGAAGATTCTGAAAAGAATGTTGATAAAGTTACTTGATGAAGACTACGAGAAATTAATTTCAATAATAATAATAATAATAATAATAATAATAATGCAATACTAAAATAACATTTTCATGCATTTTATAAATTTTCCAATTAACTGCTTCAGTAGGAAATCCAGTATCTCAATATAGTCACCTTATCTTACTGAGGAATAATGAATTACCAAAGCCGATAGGAATAATTGAATGTGGTACTCAACGAAGGTAAAAAAGCACGGAAAAAATCGTCCTTTCTTATTCGAGTATAATTTGAACTCTATCTGACAGAATATCAAATATTACTACAAACAGTATCACTGTTATGTGGCCTGTTTAATGTTTTCAATTAAAACAAATGACATCCACCAACCACGAAAGAAACGGGACAGAGAATACTCACAGATTTTCATGTTCTATCATTTTTAATATGTTACACGTAAATTGGAAATTATTATATTCCGTTTCCGGAATTTAGGGACTTTGTGGAATCTACAATTTTTTTCTTTCCTAGTCAAATTGTACTCATGTATGTATACTATCTCTCTGATAAGAATTCATGTGCCTGATGGGATCGGAGTAAAACACACAGAAGAAATAAATTGTCTTCATCTTCCATAAAGTTTACTTGCGAAACGTGTTTCATTCTGATTCACGCTTGCTTACACATACATTAATTTTTACAATAAACTGAAAAAAAAATTCCAGCAACAGTGAGATACTTGTAGTTTCGACAAATGTCCCTCACGGTTCATAAAATTGTCTCGTGCAGACTATTTGAATCTATTGAAAACGAGGAATAATTGAAATACCGCAGCTCGGATACCAATAAAACGTTATTAATGTTCGGATTTTCATCGACGGGAAATATTCGATGTCGTTCCTCTCTCACCTTTCATTGAAACCTATGACGTGACATTAATACTCAGTGTGGTTTGAAAGCAAAATGCTGCTTGGATGTTTTACGAGGAAACATTTCACAATTTATCACACCCATAGCGTTATGAAACCGTAGTCAATTTATGTGCCTGGTCACTAAACACAGAAATATTTTTCTCTTTACGCAGACATATGATTGCTGCGTTCATTCGTCACAAGAGACGATAAGAAACCTGCATGCACTAGTAGTGTTTGCAACGACCTCTAGATGGCAGCACTGAACAGAATCGGTATATCTCAGTTGTACAGGTCCTCGAGTATTAATTGTAAGTGGCTATTGAGGTTTTCATGATAAAATGGAATTGTGTGACAAGACGTAATTAAAAAGACAGTTGTATTTGGACCTGTGGAATAATGTTGGGGAATTATTTTCCACATTAAATTGCCATTTTCATTCCAAGAGAGCTTCATTATTATAAATTCCTTGTTTTATCGTAAGTGGAAGTAACCCGATGTCGCAACGGTATTTATATACCCCTATATTTGAATGTGTAATCGTTTATTAGAGAGGAACAGAAATGAATTAAACCTGAAATGTAAAATGGAATTAATTTTGTTTCTCCCTCCACCACACCCCGTCTGCTCCGCTCCAACCTTCCCCGTCCCGTCCCGTTTC